AAGAGCCAGCAGAACCGCAGGGAGAGGTGCAGCTGGTAAACCCACCTGCTGTCAGGCAGGCTCCTCTCTTTCTTCCCGACCCTCTTTCCCCTCCGGCTTCCTTTTCCTTTGCCACTTTCCCTGCTCTGCTCTGCAGGCCTGCAGGTGCTCTATCCCCTGTATGGCCCGAACCCTAGACCTCCCCCACCTCCCCGTGGTGCAGCATCCTTCTTCCTCCTTTCAGACCTGCGGCTAAAGTCTCGCTTGCTTTCCTGTCTCTCCCTTTCACACTTGGCGGCATCGCTGTCAGCATTTTGCCGTGATCTCTGAGGGACTTGCTCCTTCCCCCCTTGGAGCTCTGCAGTCTTAGAGGACAGGGACTTTGCCTCGTACTTTTTGTAACACCAGTGCTCAGCACAGGGCCTGGCACGTAGTAGGCCTGTTCAATCAACAGTTTCAATCAACTGTTCAATCAGCTGTTCAATCAACAGTTTCTGGCTGGATGGCTATTTGTGGGAAATCATTAAGGGGTCCCACTTTGGGAGTCAGTCGGGGATCTCTTCTTCCCCAGGCTTCTCTGCTCCAGCACACAAAGGAGATGATTATATCTGCGGGGCACACGGGGCTGAAGGCCTGGCATGAGGGCAAAGGATGTCTGTGTGTCAGCTAACCTGTTGCCTATTCAGGGTGCGCTTGCAGGTGCACTGGCGGGGCCTGCGCTCATGCTGTCCTCTTCGTGACCCACGCCACCCTGAGAAGCCCACGTGCCCACGAGAGGAGAGTGGGGATGGAGGGGAGACCCTCCCTGTGCTTTCTTAGGCTGCGGCCATCGCCGTGCCTGTCTGCTCCTTGCTTTTGTGGAAAGGTGCATTTCTAACAGAATTAAGCAAAGGGGACTGAGGGTAGATGGGTGTTTCTGGGGCTGATATTGCTGAAATAAAGTCAAGGGGGTACAGGACAGTAGGGTACTGGCCACAGGGACTTGGTCAGTCCCCATTGGCGTGACTTTATTATTGGGCTGTTAGTGCATTCATGTTCCAAACCAGGGATTTTAAGTTGAGTGTCAGGGCGTCGCAAACTATAGCCTAGGGCACGTGGTCCCAGGACCCTGGCAAAGCCTAAAATACTTAACTCTCTGGCCTTTCATGGAAAAAGATTGCCAGCCCCTGGTCAAAAGTGTGCTGCAGGGCTTCCCTGGTGGCGCAGTGGTTGGGGGTCCGCCTGCCGATGCAGGGTACACGGGTTCGTGCCCCGGTCCGGGAAGATCCCATGTGCCGCAGAGTGGCTGGGCCCGTGAGCCATGGCCACTGAGCCTGCGCGTCCGGAGCCTGTGCTCTGCAACGGGAGAGGCTACAACAGTGAGAGGCCTGCGGAAGGCCAAAAAAAAAAAAAAAAAAGTGCGCTGCAGCTGGCGTTTGATGTGACACCGCCGGCCTTGGCCCTGACCTCTTGTTGGTGCCACAAAAGCTGTTCCTCATCCTCGTCTCACTGCAGTTTGCTGCTTAGTGAGAAGGCCTCGGTGCTTGTACCCGCCGCTTGTTGTGGGAGCAGTCTGGTCTCCTTGGTCTTTTCCTCTCTGCCTGTTACCTAACAAAGCTGTCACAAAATCCATATGACAGTATCAGCCAACATCATGCTGCTCACAAAAGGCTGTGTATGTATCGTAGGACCTGAAATTTCACGCTCGGCCTGGACGTCTGGGCCTCGCGGGGCCCCGAAGGCCTGACCGTGAGTTCCTCTGCCCTCTCCGGATATTTCCCACCCAGCGGGAAGTTGCCCTCAGCCGGACTGGCTGTAGCCCACCTGGTCCTCAACCGAATGCGTGTCAACTCCCTGCCAACCCTCAAAATTATTCAAACAGGCAAATCACATCGCCCCGGGGAACCAGGGCGTCGCCCCTTGCGCCTGCAGGCCTGCTTCCCATGGCCTCTGCTGTCACTCCGCTCCCAGGCGCAGCCCCTGTGTGGCCCTGTGTGGCGTGCTGTGTCCTCCCCCTGGGCCGTATGGGTGACTCACAATAAATTGCCGTTAGTCATCTGTCCGATGTCAGATGTCGTGTGTTTGGCCATCCTCAGAGCCCCCAGGTGGGACTCCCTCCCACCCCAATGCGGGGAAGTCGAGGAGAACCAGAGAGGCCAAAGTGCGGACGTGGCACTTTTTTTTCCACGTGGATAAATTCCGTGATGAGTGCTTGAAAGCGGCATCGTGCTTAAATTAATGCGATCACTTAATCTTTTTAGTTTTCTGCTTTGCTTTAAAAACATCTTTTACAATTCTTTTTTCTAGGTAAAAGCAGCATTTAATGAGGAAACTCGCTGTTACGAAATTAGAACAACTGTGAGCTGTGGGAAACACAAAGAGGTGCTCATCTGCTATGGCCCTCACGATAACCACCGCCTGCTCCTCGAGTATGGATTTGTTTCTGTCCGCAATCCTCATGCTTGTGTTTATGTCTCAAAAGGTTGGAATTAACTTTGGTTCTGATCACTAAGATAGAATTCCCCACCGCCCCCATCTGTGGTTATGTTAAGTTTTTGTAACAATGGCAAAACCTTAAAGTGTGTATATCATTTATTTTCTCCTAGGCAGGGCTAGCCTAATTCTAATTGACCACGTCATTTCAGTGTTGAAGTAAAACCAGCAAAGCTTTGATCGATATTGAGGATAAGAGGAACTGAGATGTTTATTGCATTAGGTCAGACAGTAGAATGGAAGAAAAGAGAAACTGCTAGGGAAATAAATAGAGTATTAATAGATGGCAAGAAGTGGACATTTTTGTACTGAGACATTGTCACTAAAGATAAAATAGGATTAGAGAGCAATAAGTAAAAAATATTTATGAAGCACCCACTGTGTGTAAGGTGGTGTACCAATCACACGGTAAATATGTTACACAGTCCTTTGGGCGGCTTAATGGCATGATAAAATACGCATTCCATTTATGTTCTTTTGTTACCTAGCGTCATCGTTGGTATTACTCTTTTTAAAATAATGGTTTACCTATTAAATTTATGCTGTGAAAATTTCAAATATAGTATTAAAAATAGTACATAGGGGCTGATTTTTTCCCCCTTCCTTGAAGCAGCAGAGCAATAGTTTTCTAGGCTTTGAAGAAATGGCTAGAGATTTACTGAGTGTATAATTTGAGGTAGGTTTTTTTTTTTTTTTTTTTTTTGGCGCGTGGGGGAGCCTCTCACTGTTGTGGCCTCTCCCGCTGCGGAGCAGAGGCACTGGACGCGCAGGCTCAGTGGCCATGGCTCATGGGCCCAGCCGCTCAGCGGCATGTGGGATCTTCCCGGACTGGGGCACGAACCCGTGTCCCCTGCATCGGCAGGCGGACTTTCAGCCACTGCACCACCAGGGAAGCCCTGAGGTAGTTTTAATATAAGTTCTGATGGAAATAGAGACTTGGTCAAGGTGATACTACTCCATCCTATTAGTAGCCAAAGTAATAATGTTATTTCTCAAAATGAAATGGAAAAGCGAAAACTGGGCATTGCTGGGTCTCTTAGAAAGCTAGCTTTGAAATTAGCCTTATATTATCAGAATAACTTTAATATCGATGACCATGAAATATTGATTTGTTAAATAATTTGAACAAATTTCACACTTTCATTATTTCTGCATTTAAAAAATAAAAGTAGAGAAATGTAAAAAGAAATTTTAAAAATAGAAAAATCCCTCATTATCCTATGACCCCAAAAAGCTTTGTTAATTTTTGCATGTTCATTTTCAGTTGTTTATGATTACAGTCACTAATATCCAGACAGTTTTGAATTCTGGCTTTTAAAAACTGAGTCTTGGAAACATTTCCTCATGTTTGTACAGAGTCTATACTTCTGGTGGGTGTAATTTCTCAGCAGTCCTGCTAATGTCTTCATTACCCGATTTCGCGGGTTGATTTGCTTAGTGAGAGCAGCAGCTGAGGTAGCAGAAGTCTTGTCCCCTGCCTTGGAATTCTTGTAGCTTTTCAAAGGGCTGAATCATACTCTCATTGAGTTGGGCTTGAAGACTAGATTTTTTTGATGTGAAATAAGTAAAATTGTTTACACATGTCTTGATTGCTGACGGGAAGGAAAGTAAGCTGAGAAGAAAGGGTCCCCCCTCTCTTCCACCTGAATTATACCCTGAATCTCAGCCTGATTTTTTTTTTTTAATGCAGATATACTTGTTAAATATCTTCCATCAACAGATAAACAGATGAACCAAAAGATTTCCATTTTAGAGGATCACGACTTTATAGAGTAAGTGTTTCTCTCCAGAAATTATTCCTTAAGGAAACCTTGATGAAAAGTTGAGAGCTGAGGTTTTTACAGGTGTGAGCTGCCTCCTGACTTGTATCCGGTGACAGGTAGCTGCTTACTGAGCATTTACTATGTGCGGCACATCGTGCTTCATGTTGCGGGATACACAGGAGGGGAATTTGCTGGTCAGGAGACTTGTTTGGGGACCTAAGATACAAGCTTGAAGTCTCAAGTTCTGTACCGGGAGAGCCCCGTATGTACTGATCGGTGGCCCAGTGTGTTTGTGGCAAACATGTGGTCAGGTGGGGTGGCATCGGCTACTGCAGGCCAGCCTGGCCGTCAGTCACCCGGCAACAGGATGCAGGCTCTTGGGATGGGGGGAGCCTAGGTGATTCCATGCCAAATGGGATAAACTGGGTTTGAGACCCTCCCTTTCAGATTTTCTTATATAGGTGAAATTAAGTTCTAAATAATCCAGCAGCACTGTGAGGGACACTAGCTCTGGTGGCTGCCATTTGTTTGATCCAGAGGATCATCCAGATTCTTCATCATTCATCTCACTGTGGCCCCCTCATCCAAGTTCAGCTTCTTACCAAATAAAAATTCTTACCAAATAAAAATAGTTTTTTTTTTTTTGGCGGTACGCGGGCCTCTCACTGTTGTGGCCTCTCCCGTTGCGGAGCACAGGCTCTGGATGCGCAGGCTCAGCGGCCATGGCTCACGGGCCCAGCCGCTCCGCGGCATGTGGGATCCTCCCAGACCGGGGCACAAATCTGCGTCCCCTGCATCGGCAGGCGGACTCTCAACCACTGTGCCACCAGGGAGGAATTTTCTGTTACTCAGCCTTTATTCTTAAGTATTTGCAGACTTACTTTTCTCTTTGTGACTAAGACCATGGGTTGTGCAACGTTTCGTGGCCCCTTTAAAAAAAATGTTTGGCATTTTAGTCATTTACCGTGATGTAATGAAGTACTGAAATGACAGATTGGTAATTTTTTTTTTAATTTAATTTTTATTTTATGTTGGAGTGTAGTCGATGTACAATCTTGTGTCAGTTTCAGGTGTACAACAAATTGATTTAGTTATACATATACATATATCTATTCTTTTTTTACTTTAGAAATTTGACCTTTGGATGGGATGGACCGTCTTGGCGGTTACTCACAGCTCTTAAGTTGTTATGTCTGGAAGCTGAAGAATTGTAAGTTCCCTGTGTGTTTGTCATGAGCTGTAGTTACGATTTGGACATAACTTTGGCTCTTTGGGGGCTTACATTCAAAGGCCCAACCTCAGAGGAGAAAGGAATGCCCTTGTATATTGGGGTTGCTTATTCTCTGTGTAACTTGCCCGTGTGGGGAGTGGTTCACTTCTAGGTTTGCACCATTTCTGGAATTCTGGTTTTAGAGTCATAGAGTACACGGGCCTGAGAACTGGTCTCTCCTCACATGTATCCCCCTGGTGACCTGCAGCTCGTTGTTCAGGGTAAACACTTCGAAAAGTGTGCACGTTGGCCCTGGTCAGAGGAGAGCCTCTGAGCAGGTGGGTTTTTCCTGGGAACAGACCAAACTCCTGACCACTGGCCGGGCCCCCCTGGTTCTGTCCTGGGGGCAGATCCAGACCCCTGCTGAAGGAGAGGCCTGGATATTTCCATAGAGGAGGCATGTGGAGGAGCCCCTGGTGTAGACACGCATCCTGGTCAGGTCCTCACTATTCCTGAGAAGCTGTTGGTCCTTCCCTTAGTGTGGAAAGGATGGTCACACGCGCGGCCGTGCGCTGCCCAGCCCTGGAGCTCCTTGTGAGGGAGTCGGGGAGTAATGCCTGCTACTTAGCAAATCTCAGGTGAGAGACACCACAGGGAGGACTTCCTGAAGATGGCGAACCCCATCCTCGAGCAGTTGGGAGGATTAGGTGAGATAACGCCTAGAAGTCGCCCTCAGCAGAGCGCCTAGTAGTTTGTGCTCATTCCATCATGCCTGTGACGTTGCTGTTTACGACGTTGCGTACTTCCTTTTCTGCAGGGACTTGGGGAGAAAAACTATCCCCTGGTCTCAACACCAGAAGCAGTTGTGTCTCTTTTCAGCAGATGGTGTGTTTTTGTCGTACAGACACTGAATGTATCTGATATGTTTCCTTCTTTTTATTGCTCGCTAGAAAACTCAGAGGCAAATTTGTGGTCCATCCACGTGTGTAGGATTCTAAGGCATGCAATTTGTCACTGACTCATTCCTGGCTGTATCTTACCTTTCTTCTTTCCTTTGTCTTGTTTTCCCTATCCATTCATCTTGTGTTTTATTTTATCTCGTGCGTACCCACATAAGTTTCTTTAAGTCGTTCTTGGAGACGCGTCAACCTCAAATTAAATAAAGCAGCTGGATGTTTCCCAGATGTCCTCCTGAGGCCTCTTTTCTTCCCTTTGGGTGCTTTCTGACTACCTGAGTGGTGTGGCAGAGGAAGCGTGTTTGGGATTCTGCCTGACGGGTATTTGCACGTTAGTTCTGCCTCTCATTAGCTCCGTCACTTAGGGTGAGTGCTTTACTGTTCCGGATTCTCAGTTTCTTGGTGTCTGAGGTGGGGATTATAACGCTTTCTTTGCTAGGCGGTTGTGAAGATTAAAACAGATACTGGCTACATATAAAGCACTGTTCCTGGCACATAGTAACGGTGTTCCTTCTTTCTTTCTTTTTTTTTTTGGCCGTGCCACGTGCATGCAGGATCTTAGTTCCCCAACCAGGCGCTGAACCCGTGCCCCCTGCGGTGGAAGTGCGGAGTCTTAACCACTGGACTGCCAGGGAAGTCCCAAATGTTATTTCTTGACTTCCTTTCTTTCCCGAGAACTCAGCTGCTCCTGGGGTTGCCACCATGATCCCTGAAGCTGACAACATCTAAGACTTCATTTTCTGTATGGCTCTTGGGCTGTTCTGAATTTCTCAGCGACTTCTGTGCCGTCCACTGGGATGGTAGAGCCGTCACCGTGGCCTTTCCCTCCTCAGCCACGTACACTTTTGCGTTCTGTGCATCCAGCATCCGTACCCCCGCCCCCTTCCTCCCTGGTTAGTGCTCCTCGCCGGCCTGTAGGCTTGACTCAGCCCCTCCTGCTTGGCACCTTGGCTGCGGCCCCCTCTTGCCTCCCCTGCAGAAAGCTGGCCCCGCCAGCCCGCAGAGCCCCATTTCCTACGGACTTCCTTAGTGTAAAATTGGAAGGACCTGCGTGTAGAGAAAGGCTTCACTGTAGATTCCTCTTTCCATCTGTAGAGCATTTTACTTTGTGAAACATGTCCTGTTCCGTTTGCCATTTTTTTTAGGAGAGGCTGTCATTTGAAGAAAAGGAAAACCTCTGCCTTTTGCTCCTTAGTCGGTAGTACTTTGATTGTGGACTCACCTTCCTGTCTGTCCCTTGTTCTCTTCCTGTGGCTGGTGGACGCGACTCTTCTTACTCACGTGCTAGGCACAGGATTGTGGTGCTAATAAAACTCAGGTCCTGCCTGCAAAGAGTGCTAGTTCCCTCGCTCCTTATCCTCAGCGTTCCTTCTTCTGTCCTGGATACCTTGTCTGCTCCAACACAGGACCTGTGTGTGGTGGGAGGTTTCAGGGAACGTGCTGATGGAATGAGCTTTATTATATTTCTGGAAAAATAGGAGAAGTGTTCAAGTGGAAAAGCTGCCTTTGTTTTTGAAAACTTGCTGAAATGACCTTATTGAATATTTTGGTTCTAGGACATGCTGGAAAAAAGTACTTATTGGGGAAATAATTTCAGATACAAATGAGAAGGCAAGTTTGGACATAGCCCAGAAAATATGCCATTATTTCATCAAGGAGAGTAAGGCTGTGCTTCAGAAGGTATGCTTCTAGCATGTTGCGTTCTTTTCTTAAAGAAGTGTGTTGATGGAGAAGTTGTTTTGTACTGATGCTTGTTGCATAGGGATAGTCCACTTCTTAGGGTGGTGTTAATGCCTTAATAAATGAACGCTGATGTAATCCGTGTTTTGACTGTTAACATGTGTCTGCACCTTTTAATAGGTAAAATTATTGCATGAATTCTTGGTAACAGATTTTTAAGGTACTCTTTC